GTAAGTCTTGTTGCAAGAATCCACAGTAGTTTTACGATCGTACTATATAGGGAGACTGGAAATTCCAATTTGCCTCAATATATCTTCAATATTGAGTCACACAAAAATAACATTACTTTTCTTACGTAGATTATCATATTATAGCTAATATGCGCTAAGATATCATAATTGTGGTGATGTCTTGTATTGTAACTTGTTTATTCCGTTGCGAAACGTACCTTCAAACACTTCTGTACGTGTGGCAACTAGGATTATAGTTCCATGAACGCCACTGCTTGCAGACATGTATCACAATACACAATTTATTTGACTTAAAACACAATATATATAATGTAAATGTATTATAGGATACGCAGTATAGTATCCGTGTAGATCATGCAACCAAAGAAATGCGAATATGAAACGTGATGATGTGAATGACAGAATTTGTGAATCAATGACAGGAACAATGCAAGACATGAGTCTGATTAAAAAAGTTTATAATATATAATACATTTAATTGTTTCAATCAAATCCTATCGCATCAATCAATGGCGTCGTTTTAATGTAATTGAAGTATTTACAGTATAAAAGCTAGCATAAGTGTTGGTCATTCTGCTACGTGTTGGACACGATAGTGTGATCATGCATACACGCTTGTGTCATTTGATCGTGATTAAATGCATAAAATCATTTAAAATTGATTATTTGTTTTTTTCAAAGTAAATGAGAACCGAACCTTCTCTTTGTTAATCGTTAGTTCTATACACTAATGATTTGACGGGACAGTCGTGAGACCCGTCTTTAACGTATGGAGCGGAAACCTGGGCCATATAAAGAAATGAGGAAACGAGGTTTCAGAGAACGGAGATGAGGATTTTGCGTTGGATACTGGGAGTTTCATTGAGAGAAAGAAGAACAAATGAGGAGGTACGATAAATAGCTGGAGTAAGAGACGTTAAGGAAGTTGTAATGCAAAGTAGGATGAGATGGTATGGGCATGTGGTTAGGAAGAGAGATGAGGAGCAAACGAAGAGAGCATGGCAGGAGCTGGTGAGAGGAAGAAGGACGAGAGGACGACAGATAATTAGATGGAGAGATGGAGTTGATGCGGAGATGAAAAGTTTGGGAGTAACGGAGGACGATACGGCCGATCGAGGAAGGTGGAGAAGAATCATCAACAGGGAGGTCAGCACCTAGCTGACGTCTCAGCATGGACCATCCGCGAGAGACTACGACAAAGAAGAAGAAGTTCTATACACTAATGATTACAGAGTTGATAATTTCACATTGAGTTGATAGGTTTTTAATTTTTGTAATTGCGCATAGCAATTTTTAGTATTTTTAGTAGCAGTGATTGAGTATTTGTAGAGGTTTTTGTATTTAATGGAAATGTGTGCGTGCGTGTGTGTGCGGTGTGTGAATGCATATAGTCATGTGTATGTATATGTACGTTCGTACTCGCGCACGCACGCACGCACGCATGGACGCACGCACGTACGCACGTACGTACGTACGCACCTACACACGTACGCACGTACGCACGCATGTCTTGGATTTTCATACTGCTACTAAAGCAATGGTTTCGTACTGAACATAATTTGTGTTTTATAACGTCGTTTTTTATATTTAAAAAAAAATTGCTAAACTTCAGTCACAATTTTGAATGTTGAATTGCTATTTATTTCAACTCATAACGAAATGTTAATTAAACGGGTAAATTAGAAAATCAACCGAGAAATCATGAATAAACTTGGCAAACTTGATAATGCAGTACTCGTGCAATGACGAAGCTTAAAGATCATGTACTTTCGGCTCGATAGAGGGCGCAACTACCCTTGCTCGCTGACGTCCGTTCGTCCCTGCGACGGTATCACGTCCTCTTGGAAGAAGCACCAAGGCAAATATTTCTCTGAAAGAAGAGAGCACCAAGGCAAATGACGCCCCATCACTTTCTCCTAAATGTCGCAGAGAAGGATAAATGCAAAATATTGATTTCATGAGAAGGGCTGAGCCAAAAAAACGCTTGAAGTAGCCACGAAATTTTAGTGATTGGTCATCACCCAATCTACGAGGCACCTCAGCAAGCAAGGCGGGTGGTAATCATGTACCATCGCTGCCCTGGTAAACGGTGAACAATGCATTATATTATTTATGTTCTTGTGTATGTAGGTTTTTTGTATGTATATTTGTGTGTGTATGTGCGTGCACGCGTGCTTGCATGCATTCGTTATGTGTTTTGGACTATTGCGATAGTTTCATACTATTTTACTTCACAATTGTAATTAAATGTTGCTTTATTATTTATTTCAGTACAATTATTTTTATATTGTATATTGTATGTCTAAGTATATTCTATGAAGTATTATTTAAATAAATATAATACAAAACTAATCAAGAATGTATTAATAAATCCGTTAATAAATCTTATCACGGATGAGCAACGCAATCACGGATTAATACATAAGCAGAACTATACATCTAAAAACCATGTTTATCTGCGTGTGTGTGTACGCGCGCGTGTGTTTATTTATCCATTTATTTATATTATGTATATATATATATATATATATATTGATCTATGTCGCAATACTCAATACGCTGCATATCGATCGTTTACTTGCGACCTCATTACTTGTGTAAGTCAATGTTGCCATTTCTGTTAATGGGTTTGCTTCTCTGTAGAGGGCAGCAGCAGGCAGCGTTTATGTCCTGTCTGGCTGTACGTTCGAAAGTTACAAATTATTTAACATAGGCGTCTCTTCTCACCTATCATTAATCAAATTAATATTTAATCAGCAGATAAATTATAAGAAATTTACCGCCTTACATTACCATCACGAGCCGAGACACGTATTTTACTATACATGTGGGGCTGTGGAATAGCGGACGTTACTGGGGCTATTACTGGGGCGTTACTATTACTGGGGCTATTACTGGGACGTTACTGGGGCTGGTCTATTATCGCGTTCACACGGTCATGGTTTGGCTCGAGCCAAATGGGCTAAATTTGGCTCGGGCCGGTTTGAGTCGGAGTGTTCACACGTACGCAAGTGAATACTGTCTGTCAAATTCAAATTCAAATTCAAATAAATTTTATTGCACAAATATCGATTACAGTTCATCTTTCGGGGGCAGATGAATATGTCGCGGCACATGGCGTGTGTGTACGATTCAGGTGTTTTACTGCTCACGTTAACGCTTCCGGCTCCGACGGTTACACCATTATCAATCCTTGAAAACGTGGCATCCTGATCAAATTATCTTCGAAAGATTTTTATCCAAGCGCGTTATTAGGGAAACTTTATTGTCCGTCGAAGACATCCGGGTCTGCGACACTCGCGGCGATCTTACCGCTAAACGCGATGTCTACTCGCTCTCGCAGCTCCGCTGAAAGCTGGTGCTAAATTTTGGCTCAAAGGGTCTGGTAGAACGTTTTCGATGTGGAGCAAAAATTGGCTCGTGCCACACTCGTGGCACAGGCCCGAATCCGTCGAACGGCGGTCGTGAACGCTCGCTCGAGCCAAAGTCTGCGCGCGCCTAGATTGGGCCAGGCCCAGAAAGAGAGCCATCTCGTGGTGAACGCACCTTGCCATGTTCCGCGGTAGCTGCCCGAACGTACGTCATGGTGAGCGGTCCCGGTATAACCGGAACGATTACCGCCTGGTAAGCTATCGATATGGTTTAGGGTTAGCGGTTAGGGAGTAGGCGTAGCGCGACTCCCTGGAGACTCGTTAGGTGGACGGTAGGCGGAGGTACCGTCTCGGCATAATTAGACTAGTACGCCGAGGGAACGTTCCGGTATACCGGACCGTACCCAGGGTACGTTCCGGCAGTACCCAGGGAGACATAGACCCTGGCAGCGTTACTGGGTTCCATCCCTGTATCAAAATTTATTCTCGGCACGTGCCGATTGTGGTAGTAATCATACCAGAAGTTTTGGAGGAGTTCTGTGTGCGGTGCACGCCTATTCAGGCATGAATTAAGTTAAAATGGTTCTCAAGCATAGAATTCCTTCTTTATTCTACATAAATTATATCCAATTGCGATATGCGACGTATCTAGTCATCGGAATCGAATGGAGAAAAATCGGCCTGCGGTTGTCGAATCTTGATACTCAAAAGGTTCTGCGGGGGTTCAGAGATGATAGAGTACTATTAACTGCAATGTCTACCGCTCACCATGCCAATTGCCTACAGATTGGCGTTTTCCAGGACCTAGCCAGCATCTATAACAGTGGAAATATAATTAGGTGCGTGAAAACACTAAATATATATAATATCATAATATAGTCAGAGTCCATCAACTTCTGCAACGGAAGTCTGTATTGAAAATTGGCGAGGTGTTGTGAACTTTATGAGTGGTTGCAGATTGTTTTGAGCTTATCATGAAACAAATCTGTCACTGGCGCGTGGTGTATCTTCGTTCATTTATCACATGGTTGTTTCACTTGCTGCGTTATGCCCATCTAAAACTCACGTACGAAATTGCACTGCACTCACGTTCATGGTTATGGGTAATCACCCTCCCCTCCCTTCCCTCCCTCCCCTCCCTCCCCTGGTGTTATTTCTCTCATATATACAAACCCAATATTCCATGACATTCGTGTTCCAATGCACTAGATAAATATACGCGTGTGTCTTTCACAACATCGGCAGCGTCCGCTGAAGTAGTCTATATATATGCTGTGAAGAAAGGAAGGAATCACCCTTCCTCCTTACACACGTGTACAGTATATGTGTGCCAGTGTTACTTCTCCCTCACTTATCAATTCGTGCACCAGTAGTGAGTACATGCACTAGACATATATACCGCGTGTGTTTCACAACATCAGCGTCCGCTGAAGTATATATGCTGCGATCGAAGGAAGATTCATCGAATCGCATTAGAAAACGTAGATGTGTGTTGGCTCGGATGAAAGGGGATTATTGCGTCTAGTTATTATATACCTGCGCACCGTGAATCGATGCCGATGAAAGTCGGCAGCCGATCACATCCACGCTGCAGCGCTGCAGCCTAGC